ACTAAAACATTTTGTAATATGATGAAATATCTACATCACAATTTCTTTTTTAATTTTCATTTGTCATGGACACCGCACTATTGTTTTACCAATTTTTAGGGCAGGTTTGTTGTATTTTTTGATGTGGTTTAATGCCCATTGTTGCATTCTGATGAATTATCCTCTAATGTGACCAATGTGTTTGGTTCTTAGCCTCATAAGAAACCCCAAAATATACAAGAAAGACCTTTTTACATGTAACAAATGGTGGATAAGAAGCATGTGGTGTATTATAGAGCTAGTTATTCCATGGACGCACAGTGCACCAAACACAATTTAGTGACTTTGTTACTTCTCTCCATTCTGCAATAGATTTACCACTTTAATGATGAAATGTACACAAACATTACACCATGTAAAGCAACTTAACATGACATTACTTTAACATAAAAAAAGTTTCTGATGAATGACAGGTGTATCTATTTTTTTTAATATGTCTGGATGTAATGTAGGGCACCATAATCGCAACTGGTGAATAAAATTATTTTCAAAAGATAAAATTATTTCAACATTATTTTGAAAACCTTTATAGATATTACTTATTGAGTCACAACATGGCAAAAACTGCATCTTCATCTATTAGTACCCAAAGAAACTTATTGATTGCAAAATTGTGGCCTGTTATATCTGCTAATTATTTTTGTGAATAAAACTTATTTGATTGCCTAAAATTAAAATAACATATTCATGGCTATACGTTATTTAAATAAAAAGTAATTTTTCATGAATTTGACAATAAAATGTACTTGAGAAGGAAATATATTCCCAAATGAACAGCCTTTGGTGTCCTGTTACATCCAGGAACTCTACATAAACAGCTGTATTTTCTCCATCATTCAAAGCAGAACTATCTTCTTTATTGGTGGGGATGCAACATCATTTTATGATGTGAAATCTAATACATCATGGGGTTTCACCTTGTTTTAAATTTTCAAAAATGGTCCAGGACGTATCAAATAATTCATGACACCAAAGACTTGCTCATACATGTAGCTATTTTATGAAATGACTTATTTTAATTTGTATTAAGCCACTACATGATCTTAAATGATCAGGAGGAAGAAATTTCTCTGACAGTATTTTAAAATTACAAATAGATCAAAATTTGAAGTTGTGATACAAAAAGCAATTCAGCACTTTTTAATTTAGGATACATTTTTCCTGATACATGTTTGCAAACACAAAGTGTTACAATTCTTCTTCTAAAGGAAACAATATAAAAAAGTCCGATATTTTTTCCAGAGTTGGCAACTGAAAAGACAAATAAATAAGTAATAAGAAGGACTGGCCTAGATTTTTACACTATGTCTTTTGTCATAATTGCAAATGTACAGCAGTATCAGATGCATTTGAAGCTGAACTTGAGCTAAAAAAGTTAGTAACAAAAACCTGTCTTCTAATGGACTTCAAACAAACACCTCAAAGTTCTTTGGATGGCTGAAAATCCAATCCACCTAATGGACATCTCTGTAAATAACTAGCATAATTACCATAAATACTTTATCGGTTAAAATTATAACATTGATATCAGGAAAATGTAACCGATAAATGCTGTCTTTTATTGAATAACATATATAGTGCCATTAGCTGTATGACATTATCAGGCATAGGTTTTTGGTGGGACACATTCAATATGGATAGCAAATGAGGTCATTTTATTTAGAGTTTCTAGATATATTCAATATACTAGTAAAAAAAAAAACAAAGTAGATATAAGCTTCATTGTAAAATTGTAAAGTCAGCAAATTATGGACTGAAAATTGGTAAATAAAATGAGTATTTGAACAATGATGCATTTATGACTATGATTAGATGTCAGTCAATTATTTGCAAAATTTATATGATTTTTGTTCCTATTCCTACTCTAATGGTGACCATACATCCAGTAGAAATTTGAAACTTCTTGGTGATAAATGTCAACTGAAAGGACTTTCATATGAATTGTCACAAGGAAGACCTGAGGGTTTTTTTCTTAAATTATCATATGCCTCTGTAAATATCTTCTCTTTTAAATTTAACCCAGACATCATAGCCTATTATGACATCGATATAAGATTATGTTTACTCCTTGTTCAATCAATAAACTTTTGTGTACATGCCTTTACATGTATACATATGTAACTATTTACATGTGTACATACATAACTGCTTACATTAATTTCTAGCAATGTGATATATTTTTTTAATCTCATTTGTACTGCAAATGTGCAAAGTGTCCTATGTATACCCTTGTGCGTCATGTATCAAAAGTGTAGCTACCCATATTTTCTCTCAGTGCAAGAGGCCACTTCCCACCAGCTCACAGAAAATGAACTTGAGGGGAGCTACTGACACCGGAAGTCCATCTATAAAGCTGTTTATATCCTGCAAATGAAGGTTTTCTTATGAATCATGGAAATTTAATGACGGGATATGTCTAATTCTGTAATCAAACTGACAACTGTTGTCATTTGTCATTATGTTTGTATCTTTGTATACATTTAAATGCATAAAAACCGTAATTAAATGATACTATATTTTGGTTCACAGAATATTTCTGACAGGAAAATCTTTTCTTGTATCATATTGTAAAATGAAAATATATATATGGTGACATCAAGTTAGTTTTTGCCTTTATTGTGGCAAACTTACAAAGCTGTCCATGGAATCTGGTCTAAGCTGTACATGTATGTGGTATCAGGTGATACATCCTAGGTACAACCTAGGTCTGAATAACATATATTGAGGAACATAACACCTATGTTAGCTAGGTTTGGGTTGACACATTTGTTCCCACCAACTACAGAAAACTTGTCGTTTCCATTATATGACACCTTATCACATTGATCAGGGAGTCCTGAGTCTGACACTTGAGTTGTCATTGGCGGCCAGAGATCCCTTCTGTATGTTACACACTGCTTATACTAGCTGGCAGATTTCAATCACAGGCACAAAGGACTTCCGTTGGTCTTTGCCACTTATGTCTGGTGTCACCTACTAGTTCCTCCCTTGGCTTACATTTGTCAAGACCCTGCAGCTTACACCTAGCTTTTTTCTGGCTTGATGAAAACATTTTTTGGAGAGTTTTGTTGAAAAATAGACACTGACAGGTTGTGTTACATTGACTATTGGCTGGCAACAGGACAACGCTGTTGTTAGTGTCTAAATCTTGTTTATAAGTTGCATCTTTGGAAATGATAATTTACAAATTTTATACAAGGATTCATACATTAGACTTTACAGAGCTGAATTCTAAATTCTGCTTTAAAGGGACAATTTAGAGAAGTTTTGGAATTTTTGTTAACATGCCAGATTTCTCTGCAATTAACACTTAAGAACAAGGAAACTGTGTCTTGTTCATTGTGCGATTTATGGTTTGTTTAATTATGTACCTTGGTTAACGAATCATGCATTGATCCTGGTCATCTTTTATATTTAGCACGCATATACTCCATAAATAGTAGCTTCCTGTCAAACATAAGTTCAATTTTACATACTGGTTTACGGTTTTCTTTTTAACTCTGATCTGGATATATAGGCTTGGTAAGCCTGCGTCCAGTATATTATTATTATTATTATAGATTTTGGGTTTGCAACATATTCAAATCCTCTTTACTTTTTTACCTTTACATCTCAAGCTGTGGACTTCACCAATCCATTTTACATATACCAATCTAATATATATATATATTTAAAAGCCTGTTTACATTTAATTGAATTAAAAACCATTTCTTCTGTGAAATTTTAATTATTATACACATGGATCATGCTTGCAATAAAGGTTTCGCAAGTGAAATAAATGCATTTGGGCTAGGATTTGTTTTTTCTGGGCATAAGTTAGATTTACCACAGCTTTCCACAAGATTAAAATATGCCACAGTTATGTAAATTTTCATATGGAGTGAAATATTTTCAGTTTCTGACTAATATAGAATTTCTAAGTTTACTAATTTGTCCCTTTAAATACATAATGAAGGATTCTGTTTAATAGGGTTTTATATATATATACCAATATCACGTTGCAGCATTTGGTATTGCAAATTTTGATTGTTTGCATAAATGTTCGATTTCAAGATAAAAAACTTTTAGCATCAGAAGGGCAGTTTATGAATACATTTTGCACTGTTATTATTTACTTTGTTCTAGTATTCAATTATTTAGATTTATGATGGCTCAATAATATCCAGATTTATATTCATGCAAACGAACATTGAAATAATGTAGATAAGAAGGTACTATAGATGTAGTACTGTATATTTTCTGTCACTTAGAAGCAGGACATCCATGCTTCTGCTCAAGTTGAAAAGGAAGTGATTGTAATAGGGGGTGTACTGGCTCCTTCAGGGACCTGAGTTTCTTTTATTACAAAGGACAAAGGTCTACACAGCAGCAATTAGGACAACCAATATGAGGTTCAACACAAGGGTAAATCAAACACAAGTGTGTACAATTACTTGGCAATCCCATAAACAATGCTACAAATATAAATTATATCATAATGGTGTAAAATACAGCCTGCTTCAAATTAGCATGACTATCTCATAATCACATGTAGTAACAATACCATGGATGAAATATTTCACAGAAATGATTGGCATTTACCCAATTTTAGACATAAATGATAATTTACTTGATATAGCTATACTATGACTATCCTATGGGATAAAGCTACATGTTTGAGTCCAGGATTTATGCTTTCTCTATGGGAGCATTCACTGTGTTTCCTTTGACCCAAAGGGCCAAGTGAGCTTATGCCATGGTGCACCATCCAGTGTCTGACGTCCGCCATCAATTTTTTTCTTTAAACAACTTCTCAAAAACCAACTGACCAAATGTTTTGATATTTGGCTGGTATCTTCCTAGGATGAAACCCAACAAAGTTTGCGAAAAGAAGCGACCTTGACGTATATTCAAGGTCACATGGGTCAGATTTCTTAAAACCTCCAAATGACATCTTTTCGTGAACTTAAAGGCCTGGAGGCATGATATTTGGCTGGTAAGTTCCTATGATGAAGTCTGAAAAATTTTACTGTAGGATATAATTAGTTGTCAATCATCTTCTCAGGGCTGAAAGAGGATATTGTACTGAATTTTTACATACATACAATTGTATTATGAGTAGAAGTTTGTCCAGTTCTTGTTTGGATTTTAGTCATTTTCTTTTCTTTCATTATATCTGTAGATTTATGACCCTTGAACTTACAAAAGTTTAAGAAACTATACATTTATGTTTACTTTCTCAATGCTGGGTGAAATATTGAACTGAACTTTGATTTGTTGGTGTACTATTTGCTCCAGATTGGCTATGGATTAACTTGTGTTGTTAACCTTGATCATGATCCACCAATACTTGTAACAATCTGAAAATTTGTAAGTGGAATTCTTGAAATGTGTTCCTTTATCAGGACTTGCATTTACCTCTTGAAATTATGTGACATGGGTTACTCCACGAAAGAAAAAGTTTTGTCTACTGACTTTCAACAACAGACATGTACAGCGATGCTCAATTCATTAAAATGAAAGTCTAACTCAGCATGTGGGATAACCCTAGACTTATTCCACTATGATGCAATCACAACATCAGGTTCTTAAAAGTATTTTTATGTACATGTATCACTGCTCATTGTACCTAAGTGTATTTATTTGATATCTAATCATTTTGTTTTTTAGTACCTAATAAGTGGATAGATATATGTTTCAGCATTTGTGTGAGGTTCGTTTCTTTCATCCTAATATGAGAGGATATCTGTTATGAATTAAGATGAACACAACATTTTTGGACTGTGTATAAATTATGATAATACTGATTTGATATTATCATTGAATTACGGTGACTTCTCAGTAGTAAACTTCTCAGTAGTAATCATTGAAATTAGAAATGTGGATTTATGTGTAGATTGCATGGCCCATTGTATGTTAAGATGTGTAGATGATACAGCTGGCACATTGAAGTCATCAATACAAACACCAGTTACAGCTGAAACACAATTTGACAAACTATCAGATGGTGTGATTGTTGAAAACAATTTCATATTTCATTTTGTGTCAATTATCTTTGCATTTAGGTTATTGACCATCTTTGTAATGTTGACCATTAATTGTGTTGTGATTGAAATATTTGAAAGTTATTTATTTGTTATAGATATCCTGAATTTCTTGAATAATATTCATCCAACTTGTTTCTTTCTATTGACATATCAAGGTATTTCACTTTATGAAAGCACACTTTTTATTTGTTCAAATTATCTTTAATATATAAAGCATTTCAGTATGCAGGCATTTGTACATAGTTACTATTAGAAAGCTAATATTGTTGTTTGTTTTTGTGTTTTTCAGTGAGGAGTTTCTTGTGCGTGTACAGGCACAAGTTATGACCAGGGATGATTCAAGTGGGGGTTGGGTACCAATGGGAGGGGGTGGGCTTAGCAATGTCGGTTTACGGAGACTTGTGAAGACAAATGGTGAAGATCATACAAGAAATGAATATTTGATACAAGGAGAAAGAATAGCAGACAAATCTGTGAGTATTCGATACATTTTTGACTGTTTTTCCATACAAGCTGAACAGAAAAAATTCTGTTTTATCTAGTTTCAATCAATTTTTCTATTATGACTTTTTCAGATAATTCTGCCAAATAAGAAAATCACAGCATGGCTTCATGTCAGTCGTGAACACATGAAAAAAGGCAGTTTACACAGACTTACTCTTTAAGTTAAAAGGATGACATGAGAGTCATCAGTTAAAAAGAAGCAGAATATCTAGAAATGTATAAATCTGTTATTGTACATAAAAGGTAGTTACAAAAGGATTTCATTGAAAAAAAGATATTATGAAAATCAAATGAACAAAAAGCAATATGGTGTTTTATTGAACATTCAAAAAATGTTTAAATACCCATACAATAATCAACTTGTTCATTTATTATTGTGTTCTTAATCAGGAAACTTGACATCTCTTTACGTAGGATATTTTAGTAAAATTGAAATGCTTGGTAAGGATATGCCAGTAAGAAATAAATCTTACTTATGTGCACCAAATGTCTTTTAATACTTACAGTTTGTGCTTTATAGATTCACAATTTAAGCTGTCTACTTTAATAGGGTTTTTGGAATTAGAGCTTTAATTTTTCCCAGTTGTCTTATTAATGTGACTAGATGTAATGTCACCATGCCCTCCACAAGTTAAGACATTTCACTTTGATAGATAGCACTGTCAAAATCATTATTTATACTTCTAGATGTAGACTTATTATTGTGAAGACAAGCTTAGAAAATAGACTTTATCTTATATTTAAGATAAACCACCAAATTACATTGTGAGATCATTCAGTTAATTCTGTTCCATTTCTGTTACAAAGTTTAGTACATTGGTGAAGAGTGAATTTTAATTTCTGGTTTGCAAGGAGCTACAATGTGTGGAAATTAGATATACAGATAAGGGTGAAATTGTATAGTATGAAATGTTGGATATGAGCAGATCACATTGCCTCCCACTCACCAACTCCACACAACACAAGACAAAACTGCATCAATTATAAATACATTCAATAGTCCATGAATATTTCATTACTACAGATAAAACCCAAGAATCATTTCAATAGAATATTAAATGCTTACAAATTGCAAGTACCATACAATTTGTGAAACTATATATATGTTACCGCTGATATGAGAGCAAATTTTAATGCTTAAATATTCATCCCTTGTTTTCCAGAAAAAACAGGATTGTTTGATCTTGTTCATCTGTTCTATTTTATAAAATATATAATGTATAGATTATAATGATAATATTCAGATAATATTTATGTCCATTAAATAATATCACTAAGTCTAAAATAGTCTATTTTCAGTCAAATTCACTCTACCCATGTATACATCATGGCAAATATATATATGTTAATTTGGAGGTACTTTGGTGCATACATATATTTACACATGATTTACACATAATTTACACAAAATCAATTATTAATAAGGGTACTTGAATTGGTTTTCATCACTGATTATTGCCCTTAAATGGTTTGTTGTACAAGCAAAAGACCTGAATACAATGCCACATTATTTCGTCCATGTATATTTTGGTGACTCAGGTTTGGTAATATATGAAGTTGTCCTTGTTATTAGTAGACTTATATTAGTTTGAAGTAGCATAAATATATATCCTAACACTGAAATAAAACAACAAATTTACATTTATGTATCTTGTACACATTGGTACAGTAATTTTAGGGTTTAAAAACAGTTAACAAATCACAACAAATCATAACGCTTAGGCAAAGAAACAAAGTACCTTAGAGAGCAGTTACAATGATGACAGTAACGGAGAAGTTCGTGTCAATATGATATCATCTTCATTTTGTATACAACTCATCATCTGTTATCTTCTGTCTCAACTACAGCTGAAATATTCATTCAATGTATTTGAAAGATATTTGGATGGAAGTATCATCAATTAAGCCTATGCACTCATACATATGCTGGTCTAGATACCAGTTATCTCAATAATTAATATTATTTTGCTTAATTTTATGAATGGTGAAAAAAATGTTAGAAGTTTCACATCAAATTTCACAAACACATTTGTTCAGTTAGAATAGGAAACACATCAAAAACATCTGAGGAGCAAGTAGTAAAACAAGAATTAAGGTTTATCTTGACAGAGGTCTACCTGAAGGCCTGCTTGTTTTGTCATCAAAAGACTGAAGACAACAATTTACATTCAATTCTAAGAAATAATCTAGTTTTGATGTAGTCAGTGCATCAGATTCATTAATCTTCACCATACAGTTACTTAATGCACCTATATGCTGAAATGAAATTTGATCAGTTGGGTACTTGTAACCAATTGTGCTACACTGCCTCTCTAAATTCGGACATTCATTACCTCAAAGTAACAAGACATTTGTACCTGAGATAACAAGCAAGGTGACCTATTGCAATCGCCTTTTGTCCAGTGTCATACATTGTATGTAGTAAACTATTAACATTGTCAACTTCTTCTCAAAAACACCTGAGTCAATTTTAATGAAATTTTACAAAAAAACATCCATGACTATAAGCACACCAAAATTCTAAATTATATGGTCCCCAACCCCCAAGGGCCTGAGGGGTTGGGCCAAAAAAAGGTAAAATTGATTGAAACCTTCAAAAGCTTCTTTTCAAATCCAAGGTATGGTAGAATCAAGTACTGTTCATGGATAGAAGGTTTTATATGCATTTTTAAGTTTAATTTATTTTAATTCAAACTTTGAAAGAAGCCTTAGCATGAGATAACAGTTAATGTTATGCACTGTTTACATTTACATTATGTGTACAGTGTACCAGTAGTTAAAAGTAATACATAACAAAATTATTTTTATGACATATTACAAGAAGCATTGTCAGCAGGTGACTGTTCAGGTCCTTGGGCCTCTTGTTTGATGAAACTGCTGTATATGACATTCATTATTGTAATGTGCAGGAAATAAGAGTTATGTTGCGAAAGTATGAGCATTCATTTTAGTTTTTTTCTCAGCCATTCTGTTTTTTGACTATTTGTAATTTAGTGTAATTGAATTATCAACACATTGATACCTTTTATAACAATATAAAAAAAATTCTAACATATCAGTTTTTAAACAGTAAATCACTTGATTCTTTTGCAAGTATTGTTAGCTTGACCCTGACTGCTGTGACCAAGAGCTTTTGTTGTTGAGTCAGATATGAACATAAAAAGTTCTGTATTGGTAAAGTTGTATATGTAGTTGGGAAATGGTCATCATATAACTTGAGTGATAGTGAAAAGCATACTCTGCTCTCATTAACTTGACTGACTTGACTGAGGTTTTACAAGTTTCTTATATCCTGTCATATTTTGATAGTTTTATATTCCATATGTTCTGGTAACACCTGCAAGCACTATGAATGTATTGTAACATAGTATGAATGAAGATCGTGTGTAAATCTCACTATGAACTATATATGTACAATAAACTTATCCACGTCAAGTCCTTATTTTCCTACTTTTGTCGCTGGTGAATAAAAGAAATGCTGAAGAGTAAATGAATACAGTTTTTGTTCATCTGACTTATACAATGAGACCCACAATGCAATATGTACATAAACACTGGCAACATCTGGCCACAGAATGGACAGACCATTCCCTTTTACAATCTACAGTAGTTTACATGTGACTAGAATGCATCATATGTATATGTTGTTCCATTATTGTCTTTTTTAAACTTTATATATGTTACAATGAATTATTTTAACTCATGACTCATCTTGTTGGCCTGTATGGAAGTGAGCTAAGGATCGACTGGGGGATGATACCCTGGACACCGAGGTGGAAGGGGAATGTGTTACCACTGCACAACCTAACCACTCAATCAGTGCTTGTCATAGACTTCAAATTTTGTCACTTGTCTGAAATGCTTGTGATCATGAGCTGATATTGTTTTCATGTGGTCATAATCATGGGTGATGGAACTGTACTTAATTTAGAGTATATGATCCTGAAGCTAGAATACTGAACATAGCATTATTTTCCTTATATGTCTGACTGAAAGAAGGTACTAATATATACCTTTACCACCTGTTTGTTATCAACCAGTCTCTCTTTTACAATGTCTAGTGATTATACCAATACCAGCATTTGAAGTTATCAATAAAATTTACTAATGCTTATTACTTTGAATGTTTGGATGTACATTTTTAACTGTCAACTCTGTTCTCCTGCCTTGGTTACCTTTCGGAAAGTTTCTTACTATCTTTACACTATCACATTTTCATGTGTTGCAAATTATCACTGTAAAATTAGAGATTTCATTGAACAGAGCAAACAAACGTGATCTGGACTTACAATATGCATCATTATTTCCAGAGTACTTGTTCATAATGAAAAAGTTATCATACAATTTACCTTTGTTTTAGGTGGTGCTGGACTGTATACTAAAAAGAGATATTCGTTATACAAAGGCCAACCCTAAATTTCACCACTGGCAGACTGATGACAAGAGGTTTGGTTTGACATTTGAAAGGTCTGATGATGCCAAGGCATTTGACCGTGGAATTCGGCGTGCAGTTGCTGATCTAGTGGACGGTAAGCTATTAATGGATGTCCCCCTAAAGATACTCTTACGTCCTGCTGTTGTGTGCTTTCACTTTTCATTTGTAACATTCTCAAAATATTGTTTTCTTTATTTATCTTCTTGATTTGTTGAACCTGTTAATCTCTACAAAAGGTAATTGAACTACAAATTTCAGTGGTTATTTTCTTATGAAATCAATTCTCTGTTATGTTATTCTCATTTTAACACTGTCCTTCCCTTCCCCCTAGCTTGGTTCACATTTTCACAATCTGACTGCATATGTAACCTCTTTGTTCCTACCTTTACAGTGTTTGAAAAATTCTTCTCCCTAAATTGTATTTGCAATTGTTTATTGTGATGATTTTACAAGCAAAGTTTTAGCATTTTATGCTAATATATGAAGTGGTACCTGGGGAATATGAGGGAAGGGAGATGTACTTTTTAATGCCACCCAGCTTAATTTTTTGTATTTGTGTTGTACTTTTGTCTCACAAAAATGAATGAAAAATTTTGATGTTTTGCATGGCAGGAATATATAGTATAAGGGGGCCAGGCATACATCAGGTTATTGTCTATAGGTGTCAGTTCTCTCTCTTCCGTCTAATTTTAAAGCAAATGAGATTATCAACTTCATTTTTCTAGAGTTTTTCTTGAGAAGTTGATGCCTACCTAATTTAACTTAGAGAAAAAGGATAGATATATTTATGTGTAAGGGTTTCAAAGGCCAGGTCACAATTATTTCATGTAGAACTTTGTCACATAGTAATATTGATTTAGACGGGAGTGGTGGAATTGATGTCTCATAGGTGTTTTGTGGTGTATTTTTTCAAACTTATAACAGAAACTGCATCTCAGACTTCAATAATAGTTAACAGTTAGTGAAATGTCTTCATTATGCATCAAATCTAAGGTACACATTGGTAGAGAATTTGGAAATAGTTTGTTTGGCCATATCAGCAACATGTAAGTGCCATAATTTATTCAGACAAGTACTTGTTTTTATGCTTTGTGAAGGTTGTTGCAAAATGTTGTTTTAGTATTGGGTTGGGTACCAGTACCATGCGTGTTTAATATTTAATGATACTTTGAGTTGATGCTGGTGTAATGCATTCCTATGGCTTAACTTCAGATCCATGCATGCATAACTTATTCTCTACTGCTACAGATAATAGAAGTAATGCATTCTATCTATGTGACACCATTTGAAACTTACCAGTTTCCATAGTTTTGCTACTTTTTCTCTAATTTGGACCAATTTCAAGAAAATATTCACAGTAAGCATAGAAAAATCTCTAAATCTTGTATGTCTTTGTCATTGGTTGTTATCTAGTTTCCTTTCTACATTCAGTAAAACCTCACTTCCTAGAACCTCCTATACATTGAACTTGACAGTTGATCCCAGCCATGTAGTTATATTCCTTCTTCTTCAACCTTGGATCCCTCAAACTGTTATTCTTTGAATGTTCCATATTCCTCAAACTCATATTATTATTTATTTTATCATAAATTCCATGATATTTAGCTTCAGATCTCTTCACAAATTTTAATCTTCAAATACTCTGTACTCTTCTGATCACTCCTGCATGTTTTATCACAGGCATTACATATCAGGACATTTTATATGAAATTTGTATTTTAGGTTGTCACAGAAAAGTCAACTGCTGCTAAAGTTTGTTTTTAGTATTAAAGCAAAATGGGAGGGTACAGATAAAATAGCCAAGATAATTCTCCATATGCCTTTATCAACGTTAATTGATGGCACAATGTACAATAACAACATGACAACAAATTTTCGTAGTTTTTTGCTGGGTCCCTGGGTACATGGTAATACCAGACAATGAAGAACAGATAGTGTCACAAAAGCAGCTTTATCACTATCACCTGTTGACTTTAAACTTCATTTTAGTGAGTTTAAACCATTTGTCAAACAATTAAACAATTTTTAACAGCTTGGTGGCAGGAGAAATGGAATCAATATACATATAACAAGTTGCATTCCGTAAAACATATCATTGGTGAATGGTCTCCGTACTATAGAGACAACCACCAAGGCAAAGTTTTCTTTGCCTGTCTTCAGATGGGCCATATTTACCTTGCACATACATATATGCTGAAGGCAAAGATAATCCTCGGTGCATAGCATGTGATGAGCCATTTACAGTTTAACATTTTTCATTGGACTGCACTGACCTTCTGTCTACTCAAGAACGTCGTAATGTTTAAAGTCTCAAGACTCTGTTTGAAACTGTTCAAATTGGTAAAATTCTAGGGTATCGGAAAGATATTGGTCTGTATTATAGGATATAATTTACCATTGTGATCTTTGGTAAGATATAACTATCAGAAATGTTTAACATTTGTCTTGTTATAGTTGATATGGTGATAGTTCCTTTTGGATCCCTGTGTTGTTCACTGGTTGATGGCCCTAATGACCTTTTATGGCTGTATAAACAAATAAGCTACATGAAATCAACATGTTATTATCATTTAAAGTTGTTGAAGACTATGCAAAAGTATTCATCATTCTACAATCATTCTCAGCAACATATAAAACTACATTTTTTTGTAAATGAACGATGCTGGGAATTACAAATTTTACACATTTCTCCTCAGTAAAATTCAAGACATTGGAGTAATAAGTTTACATAAGAATACTCGGCATCCCTCAATCTATTGACATGGTCCAAAGGAGTTGGACTAATTAGCCGGATTTTACTGCAAATATTTTTGTAATTATACATAACTCCATGTGCATCAAAAAGAGTTGAGACAACATTGAGCGATCATGTGGTTACTAGCTGTATGTAGAGTAGAAAGGGTTACAAAATACTTTTAGTTGTGACAACATAAATGTATAGATTGGAATGTCTAGATATGTGGTAACTAGATATACATAATGATAGGTGACCAGATATACAACAAGGTATTATTGACTGTACAACAGGACTGACTGCTTCTACTAGTGGGAGTGATACAGTTTAAAACATGGAGTTTGGGTCTACAAATGGCAGTGACTTGGTCTAAAAGTGTCTGCATAGGTCTACAAAAGGGACTGACTTGGTCTACATGAGACTGACTAGGTCTAAAATTTGGAGTGTCTGCATGGATCTACAACGGGAAGTGACTGAGTCTTCAATAGGGAGTGACTAGTTGTACAGTAGGGAATGTTGGGGTCTATAACTGGGGATGACTAGTTCTAGAAGGTAGAGTGACTGGGTCTACCAACAGGAATGTCTGGGTGTACAATAGTAAGTGAAAGGGTCTACAATAAGTAGTGTTGGAATCTACAATGGGGGTTTCCTGTGTATATAAGAGGCATTGACTGGGAATTCAACAGGGAGAAATTGGGTGTACAATACGGAGTGACTTGGCCTGCAACAGGATGTGTCTGGATGATCAATTGGGATTAATAAGGTCTACAACAGGGAGTGTCTGGGTTCCCAAAAAGGATAGACTAAGCATTTTGCAAGGCATACATGTAATGACATAATGTGAGATATAGGAGAGAAATCCTGAAATAACTATATTAACCCACTCATTACTTTTTGTAGTGGTTCTGTACAGAAACTTGTCTGTGTAAACCCGGCTTGTCTTTGACAGAATGTCTCTCTTAGTAGTGGATACCTCATACCATTAAAATGTTTTTGTTTTTCCTTGGTTAGAATAGATCACATGCTGTTGTTCATAAGTAATGCTACTGTAGGTTGATTTGTTACTTCTGGTCACTGCTGGCCAGCTAATGTGTTACAAGCTACAGTAGACCAGTTAATGTGATACTACTAGCCACTGTGGACTGACTGATGTGTTACTACTAGCTACTGTAGACTGACTGATGTGTTACTACTAGCTACTGTAGACTGACCGATGTGTTACTACTAGCTACTGTAGGCTGGCTGATGTGTTACTTCTAGCTACTGTAGGTTTACTGATGTGTTACTACTAGCTACTGTGGGCTTACTGATGTGTTACTACTAGCTACTGTAGGCCTACTGATGTGTTACTACTTGTTATTGTAGACTGACTGATGTGTTACTGCTTGCTACTGTAGACTGGCTGATGTATTACTACTAGCTACTGTAGGTTTACTGATGTGTTACCGCTAGCCACTGTAGGTTTACTGATGTGTTACTACTTGTTACTGTAGGCTTACTGATGTATTACTACTAGCTACTGTAGGTTTACTGATGTGTTACTACTAGCTACTGTAGGCTTACTGATGTGTTACTGCTAACTACTGTAGACAGACTGATGTGTTACTGCTAGCCACTGTAGGTTTACTGATGTGTTACTGCTAGCCACTGTAGGTTTACTGATGTGTTACTACTTGTTACTGTAGAGTGGATGTATTACTACTTGCTGCTGTAGGTTGATATGGCGTGTTATTACTAGCTACTGTAGACAGACTCATGTGTTACTACTTGTTACTGTAGACAGACTGATGTGTTACTACTTGTTAACGTAGAGTGGCTGTTTTACTAGTTACATTTCACTGCATAGTTTATATGTTAGTATGTTGTATATTGCTAATATCAGATAGCCACCGAGATGGTAGTGTCTCAAGGAGGTAGATATTGAATATTAAAAACAGAGGTGTCGCAAAGAGGTAGATATTGGGTACCTGGTAGGTAGAAATAAGGTAGTGAGAAGATGGTGTAGAGTTTTTGACAACTACATTCTTCAAATAAAGTATTGTGTTGTCACATAACCATAGGAAGTAAGTTGAAGTGTGTTAAATGTAGAGTGTGGATCAGGACTAAGGCATACTCTGCAGCTTTCTATTTTATCAATGAATTGCCAGTAGCCGGAAGTTTAATCTTAGGCAGGTCACCTTCACACATCCAAGTCATCAGTGGAATGATGTGTAGGTGGGGTGTAATACAACATACACACTGGTTGTCCTAGTAAATAATGTCCCAACCCTTACCATCAGCTATGTATAGTGGATCAGTGTTCTTTTTCCAACAATACAAACTAATGGAACAAGAGGCCAAGTACCTTGTAGCTCTCTTTT